CTTCCCACCGCATTGGGTCCCCACAGATTAGAGGTGGTATTCAACAGGTTCTGACCAGTTCTGGAGAACCGGTAGCAGAAATTTTGAGTAGTTCGTAGAACCAGTAAATACCACCTCTGACTGGCCCCGTCCCCACCTATTCTCTGCCTCCGGAGTCCCAGCTGATTGGGAGGAAATGGGAATTTTGCAGTAGCCTTCCCCTGCCACGCCCACAAAGCCACGCCCACAGAACCAGTTGTAAATAATTGAATCCCATTACTGCTACAGACCTGTCTCTGCTTCTCACTCTGCTGGGTTTTATACCCTCCTCTCCATCATGCCATCATGGCTGGGACCATGTACCTTTTTCATAGCTCTCCTTCAGGAGCAGTCAATCCCACATAGGTTTCCTACTCAGAGATCACTTTTGGGAATGGATTGTGGGCGGCCACTGTCAAAATGGGGCCCACTTCCAGGATGGCACCTGTATTGTGTAGGGAGACTGAAAGGTGGATTGGATCTCCTCCAAGATTTCGGAAATCACCTTCAGGATGGAAAGGCAGCTGATTTGCCCATCGGTCTCTCTCTATAGTATAAAGGCTGCATGGAGTCATCCCAGAAACAAGCACCATTTTGAAGTGACCACAATGAGTTACAGCCTTTCCTAAAAGGGCAACCGCTTCCAAGATGGTGCCCTGTGGCCTCCATGTGAGTTATTGCTAAGGATTCTAGGAGCTGAAATTCATACATCTCGACGTTGTCCAGGATGGGAAACACTGACCTAGCATGTGGCATTTCTGTATTTTGGGCCCTTTAGCCAGTCCTACTGGCAGTTCTTCCGTTTTGCTGGAAGACAAAGAGCTGGAGGCTATCAGACATCCCTGCCAACAGTTGCACCAGCTGCCTCCTGGTACTCTCCTCAGTGGGGATGTTCCCCTATTTTCTGTACTGTGTGGTTTGTGTGGTTACTGTTGTGGATTACTCCTTGATAATTTGCATCCTGGGCTGTTCTTCTTATAGTTCTTGAAAGTAAATACAAGTAAGTATGCTTTTACCGCCTCAAAGTGTAATTGGCAAGAGGATTGTCTATAATTAGTGTTTGGTCACTGACTTGGTCTGTGTAATACTTCTGATTCAATTGTAAAAAGTTGCTGCAGATGATTTAATGACTTACTGACACATGCTATCTTTGTACTCCTGGGTGCTCTAAAACTACCGTATACAGTATACATGCATATACCCAACAATTTTGAGTGCCAAAATACAGCCCTAAAGTTAGGTTTGGCTTACATCTTGATGCACTTATCCACAAGAACATATAGTCATATTTTTTAAAAGTACCCCTATATACTGGGCTGCTGGGGGTTTGCAGGGGTTTGGGAGAACCTCTAACTAAGATTTTGTGCAGTTCAGAGAACCCACAAATCCCACTCCTGCCTGGCCCCTCCCACCCCTCTTCTCCCAGGATTCTCCATGTGGCCTGTTTTGGATGTAGGTAAGTGCAGGGCGAGTGCGGAGGCTCGGGGAGGGCAAAAAATGGGCCTACTGGAAGTTCGGGAAGGTTGGAAATGGGCCTGTTTGCAACCTTCAGAGGGCCTCCGGAGCCTGGGAAGGCCGTTTTCACCCTCCCGGAGGCTCAAGAAAAGCCTCTGGAGCCCTGGGAGGGCAAAAATCCCCCCTATGTTTCAGGAGGCCGACTAGGCCACGCCCACCTAGCAACCGGTCAGAGAACCTCTTGTTAAAATTTTTGAAGCCCACCCCTGCTTGCATATATGTGCATACATGGTAAGCTGACCCTCAAATTTTTAACCAAAATACCATTAAAAAAATGAGGGTTGGCTTATCCATGGATGGTACATTTTACACAACATTTTGTTTAAAAAATATATCTTCCTTTCTTTTTGTGTCATGAATTGCAGTTAGTGAGCATGAGAAGTTGGAGTGACATGAGACAAGAGGTGATGTTCCTGACCAACATGAATTCCACAAGGTCTTCTGCTGATATCTACCAGGCAGTATCTCGCATTGTTTGTGGCCACCCTGAGGGAGGGGGATTGCAGATCAAGTCCTTCAACTGGTACGAAGACCATAATTACAAAGCATTCTTTGGAAGCAACAGCTCTGAAAACGATGCCATGGACTTCTATGATAATTATACTAGTAAGTATAACCTGAATCTAGGAAGACCTGCAAATGTTTTCTGTCTGGCAAGTCCTTAGGAGGACCATCTCTTGCCATCTCAAACATGGAAGAAGCTAGAGAGGCAAGAAAGGGCGGATAATTTTGTACTAACCTGGGTGTGCTCTCCAAACTGGGAATGTTCTGGGCATGGTATTTATCACTCACAATTTTTTCCCATTTTTTAAAAGCACCTTTCTGCAATACCTTAATGAAGAATCTGGAATCGAACCCACTCTCCAGGATTATCTGGAGGGCCCTGAAGCCTTTGCTCGTTGGAAAAGTCCTGTATAGTCCGGACACGCCAGCAACCAGGACAATTATGTCAGAGGTAAGAACCTTGTTTCTTGTCCACCCAGCAGAGGGACAGGTTGGTATTTCTGCTGCTGAATGTTCTCAACTGAAGTCCCAGAGGAATGGAAAAGTCAGAGATAGGTCAGGGCTAGGGGAAAAATAAAAAAGAATCAGATTTTGGGCTCTAGTATCTCCAGAGACACGGTGGCTCAGTGGCTAAGATACTGAGCTTGTCAATCAGAAAGGTTGGCAGAATGGTGAAATACAAATGAAATCTAATAGAAGGGGAAACAATATAAGGTGAGCGATAGTGATTGGCAATTGCTATTAGAAAGAACAGGAAGCTCCTGTTCGTATTGTATTGTATAAATGAGGTGTATGTCTAAGTTTTGTGTATTTTATGTTCGTAAATAAAATTTTAAAAAGAAAAAAAAAGAAAAAAAAAGAAAGGTTGGCAGTTTGGTGGTTCGAATCCCTAGAGCCGTGTAACAGAGTGAGCTCCTGTTACTTGCCCCAGCTTCTGCCATCATAGCAGTTTGAAAGCATGTAAAGATGAAAGTAGAAAAATAGGAACCACTTTGATGGGAAGATAACAGCGTTCCATGCGCCTTTGGTATTTAATTATATCGGCCACATGACCACGGAGACATTCTCGGACAGCGCTGACTCTTAGGCTTTGAAAGGGAGATGAGCACCGCCCCCTAGAGTCGGGGATGACTAGTACATATGTATAGTCTTTATTGCCATTGTACAAAATAAATACAATGAAATTGGTTATGTGCAAAGGGAGCCTTTACCTTTACCTTACCTAGTCTTGAATCTAACCTTAACACTAGTTGAGTGTTAAGATGAGCTTGAAGTAAAATATATTTATATAGAGTGTAAAAAAAATGGTGAGAGGAATCCAGGCACGTGAGTAGAACAATGTGCTATTGGCAAAATGTGGACAGCATTTTCCAGGAAACCTCTCTCTGGCTGTCTCTTTCCAGAAAATTGGCAGTGACACAAAAGTCAATGGGGGAATTGTGATAGATGCTTAGGTTGCAGCATCCGCTTGCACAATAGGATATGGCTTTAGAGTTCACTGGGAACAGAAACTGTAAAGGTATGGTTTGGACAAGATGCAGGCCAGGTTTTCTTTTCTTCTCACTGGATATTGTCTGTTTATATCTTCCTTCTGCTCCCCAGCTCTGCTCAGCTTGACAGCGGAGACAAATGGGCATCAGCACATGTTGTGGCTCCTCACACATTTAACTGGGGGAGGGAGAAGAAGTCTTGTCTCTGAGGAGTCAGCTGGGCAGCCTGTACTAAAACAAAAGGCTTTAATCCAAGGCTCCTGAAACATCACAGGATATTGGGATGCAGCAACGGTCATAAGTATGAACCCATTGCCAAGCATCTGAATTTTGATCACGTGGACCATGGGGATGCCACAGTGGTCATAAGTGTGAAAA